AGTCCTTAAATTTGGTATTAAATTTCTTTGGGATTCCATTCTTCCAAACCTAAACAATTATTTCTTTGGTACTAAATTCCTTTCATATTATTTGCTGCCATTAAATCCTTTAAATTTGCTATTAAATTTCACCCCCCCACCCCCAAATCCCCCAAACCCAAGCGCTCGCACGAGGCAGAAATCAAAGAGCAGGTTTGGTTTTTCCTGCAGCTTCCTGCCCCAAAACCAGAAAGGCAGCTGAGTACCTGGGTTTGTTTGATGCTGTGCTTGGGGGAGAGGCTCCCTGTGCTGTTCAGGCTGTTGACACTGCCGTGGGAGGGGGTGGAACGCAGGCTGTCTTTGGGTGGGGGGCTCGCAGGGAGAACAGGAACTGCTCCAGGGAACACGGGCATCTTCTTTCTTTTAGAAGGTGGTATGAGAGAAGGGGGCAATTGTGAAGGGACTGACTCTTTCTCAAGAGCTCTATAAACCAAATGCATTGCCTGCAAAGGCAAAAAGGTCAGATAACATTCACAATTAGCAGGAAAAAAAAAGCAAGGAGATCTTCCAGTGTCAGTCATTTACATAATAGTCAAACAAAGGCTGTAAGATTAGAGATGTCAACCAGAGCAGATCGTTTGGGATGTAATTCCAACAAGTTTAATCTTGATGACATAGGCAAGAGTCAGTGGATGGATTTGAGGAAGGTCATTTAATAGCTCTGTGTGAACAAGGCAGATTAGAACAGTGAACTGTAGCAGAGAAAGCTGCAAAGCTCTTGAGAAAAACAAATGAGCTGCTTGCTCTGCCAGACAGACTGGGCTGTGAATTGAGAATTTAAAACAACCTACCACAGCAAATTCATCCTTGTCCAGGTGACCATCTTTATCAATATCACTGAGATCCCAGACCTGCAGCAATTAAGACAAAAAAATGATTTAGAGAGTAAGTTACATTTTGTGCATTCATCAAATTAACAATCCCTCTAAAGACTCTTAATAGGTTTTGGTGAAGATCATATTAGTTTTATTAAAGTATCTACACACTCTCTGATGAAACAGACTGGATTAGAGTTTTCTGGCCAGTGTGAATCAACGCTGGCTCTAACAAATTCTGGCTGCAACACAGGCAGGTTTTTCATCTTTCTGTGGTGCAATTAAGGAGTCATCAAGCTGAGTAAAAGCATTCAGGGGTGGTTTCCAGAACTGTCCAGAGGATGTGGGGTTAGCAGATCATCCAAATGTCTTGTAAGGAAGTTAAAATATTTTAGAAAACTCAATACATTTCTAATTCCTATCCCATTCCTAGTTTTTTTTACTGATAACTAAAACCATGTGCAGCTCCCTTTGGCCCCCTGAATTTTCTATGGGAGAGAATTTAAGTGTTTCTCAGCTTCAGTTCATTATTAGGTCAGGTAAACTCAACGAAACTTGCAGAAGATTTAGAGGGATACAAAACTTTGTGTACTCCAACACTCAGTTTAACCAGAGTGCACAGAAAGCCAAACCTAAGGCTCAATTGTCTGAACTCCACTTTATCAGTGCACAAATTTAAGCTCCTTCATTAGTCCTTTGCCCATTTCCTCTGTCCTTTGTCTCGTCCACAAACTTTTCTAAAGGAGGTAAAAGCTTCCTAAATTTCTGCTCTGACAGTAACAAGATGAAATCCAAAGCCTTTCAAGACTTAGTACTTCACAATATTCCAGTACAGAATTAAAATAAGTCATACTTAGATTCTGTAGATAATACAGAGAAAGAGGCAGTTCTTCCTGAAGAGATACAAGGATGTAACACAGATCCAGCTCTTACACAGAATGAATTCATTCTCAGGCATATAAATATGCAAAGCATTAAAGAATGTGTTTTAAATGGGAGCAGAAAAATACTTTTAGGTTTGCTTCCCTGGCAAATATGCAATGGGTGCACTAAAATCAGATCTTGGAAAAAAAAAACAACTTGACAATTTGCTGGGTACAATAAATGAGGATGTTCTGAGGTGTTCTCCTGTACCAAGAGTGAAGGGATTTAATGGGATGTCTAATAACCCCTATTTGTAAAAATGACAAAACAGTGGAATATAATGTTATAAAAGCTAATATTATAAAAGTTTAGAAAAGCTTTTTCTTGCTTTTAAACAACCAAAATCAAAATTTCCAGCTCTTAAAACGAACAGAGAGATAATTAAGCCAATCTACTCCAGGGCTGAAATTACTCCTACTATTCTTATTTCTAAGTGGAAGACTGCAGAGACTTAATGTTCTTGCTTGATAGCATGCAATCAGTGCAGAATCCCAGCCAAAACCTGATCTGTTTGGATAAATTACATATAAATATTTCACACTGCAAACTATGAGAAGTTAATTTAAACAGCACACTTACCCTTCCAAGGATATCAAGAGGTAGCTTTGAATTCATCAGTACTGGTTTTACTTTGTCTCCTGAAAGTAAACCATTTACTGGCAAAAGGCTTTCAAAAATACCATCAAACTTTGCTTTTTCTTCCACCTAGTTGGTAAGAAATAGTCTGAATAAGTAAAAAAGTGTGCCTGTGTGAGTGTTGAAAATGAGATCTTGCAAGAAATTAAGGCTGGTCAGTGATGTGTTCATCCTAAATTTCCAAACTTTCTTGCAAGTGCCACGGTGCTGTATTTAAATGTAAACCCATGGAGGGAGATTTAAGAGCCTAATTTCAAAGCTAAGGTTATTTTATAACTTTCCATGAGGGATTTTACCATGCAGCAGTCAAGATGTGTTTCTGTTTTAAAGAAACTTCAATAAACCCTGGAGAACTAAAACCTCTTCTTCCCACTTTGAAGTACAACACGTAAGTACAAAAAAAATAATCAGCATTACAAGTTATTTTATTAAATTTCTACCTTTTGGAAAGGTTTGCATTTGAAAATTAACTAAACACAAATACCCACATAAATGCATCAAAGGTTACATGTGATATATATCATTGGGGAAAAAAAAGTATCACTGAATACTAACTAGAATATAGGAACTCGAGCTTTAAATTAATAATTCAGGATGGATTTGGTGAAATACTTTGCTGTTCTCAGTGGGGTTCCTTTATACAAACAATCAAAGTGCCTAATTGTAGGATTCTGGAAGAAATCCAGGCAGAAGATTAAAATTCATTGTGTCTTAAAAACATCACAGCTGGGGTTGTCAAAGGGTGGTTTAACACTTATTACACATGTAAAACTACACCTCAATATTCTCTGTTGTGCACAAGACTGCACAGAAAGGGGGGATTTTTGAAACAGGGAATACACTGGATACAAAATTCTCTCACTGAGAGAAAATTACACACAAGGAAAAGATTCACTTTTAAAGAATGGATGTAATGTGTTGTCTTTTACACTTACCCTGACAGCCCAGTGAGTCTCTGTTGAAGGTGGTGTGATCAGCAAAGGACTGCTACTGTCATGCTAAAAAAATGGAGAATTTTTATTTATATGCATATTTATATATGTAAATACAGAGATTTCTGTCTCTAATCCTTACTAATTGCTTTAAGAGGTGGTTATAGACATGAAGTTTAACTACACTAAGAGAAAGAGGCTGTACCTAAATAAAAGTCACACTCATTTATACTATCACAGCACTTGGATGAGGACATTTATTGGTGCATTAGATACCCAAACACACAACAAAGAGGTTCTGCAGCAGCTACTGCAGGCAAAGCTGCAGCTGTGCCTTTCACTGCCCACTCCTGCTGACCCAGCCCCAAAATAACTTTATTTTTTTAGAGTTTAGCCACATCAGCTTCCTGCCCAAGCTGAGAAGAGTTAATCCTGCAAAACCCAGTGAGGATGACAGGACTGTGGCAGGGTCCTAAGGAACACTTTGCCATCAGCCTGCAGCCCCAGAACCACCACAGGAGATTATTCCAGTGTTAGAACAGAATCATAGAATCATAGAATCGATTGGGTTGGAAAAGACCTCTGAGATCATCGAGTCCAACCCTTGGTCCAAATCCAGTCCATTTACTGGATCATGGCACTCAGTGCCACGTCCAATCTGCGTTTAAAAATCTCCAGGGATGGTGAATCCCCCACCTCTCTGGGCAGCCCATTCCAATGCCTGATCACTCTCTCTGTAAAGAATTTGCTCCTGATATCCAACTTAAATTTCCCCTGGTGGAGCTTAAGCCCGTGCCCCCTTGTCCTATTGCTGAGTGCCTGAGAGAAGAGACCAACCCCCA